GAGGAGGAGGAGGAGGAGGAAGAAGAGGAGGAGGAGGAGGAGTAGAAGGAGGACGAGGAAGAGGTGAAGAAGAAGTGACTGTTAAGTTAAGTAGGACAATCTCATACCTGTAATCGGAAGAGTCGCTGGACAATTGGGTCGGCGTTGCCACATCACTGACTGTTACCTGAGAACCTGTTTTCCTATTGGCTGTGACACAAGACCAAGATACTCAATGTCATTCAATAGGTGAGAATGATTCTGTCTTAACTGTGCTAATATAAATAAAGCAAGAAAAAAATTCTGAAGCACAGAGCTTTAGTTATTATTTTGATTTTTCTGCTTGTTTTTTTACACCACACAGAAAGAGGAGTTGATTGAAAAAATTATTATTAAGTTAACACTCTTTATTAAAGTCAAGGAGGAGTGAGATATAAAAACAACAATTTCCTTAATTGAAAAGTTAGATGTATCCATATCCCTTTCATTCAAACTTGATATCCAATTCAGTGGAAGGGGGTTGTGTGGGTACTAGGCACTTGAGTACTATGAAATAAGCGGAAACACATAATTTTTTTCTGATATGATCACAAAAAATGTTTGAAGGAACAAGCTTTTTTTTAAAAGATAAATAGAAACTTGAAACAGTACAGGCGACATCAGACAGAAGACAAAAAATGTTTGAAGGAACAATTTTCTAAAAAGATAAATAGAAACTCAAAAGAGTATAGGCTGAATCAAACATATCACAAAAAACTGTTTGGGAGCACGTACCTTTCAGATGGTCAAACTGCGTCATCAAAACTCTTTTAATCTCTCCCACCCAAACGTCCTTGGTTTGCAAATCTGGGGCCTGAAAGAGACACCATCATTATTAAAATTTTCTAATAACCTCTACTGAGTTTCGTCTTCACACATTAACTGCCTGGCCCAAGACTGTCTTGGGCTCTATAGTAGGAGCAGGCCTGGCAGTAGCCAGTCTTTTCTTGTCCAAACCCACCTGAGAGGGATACAACATCCCAGAAGACATATCTGATAAAAATGTAATACTTTTCTCTACAGGGGAGAAATACTCACATCAACCACATGTTCAGTTCAGTGTCACTGACACCAACAACTAATTGCCAATAAACATGATCTACAAGTAAGAAATAATTCAATGTTCTAATCAATAGTACAGTTAGTACTTTTGTAAATTAAACAAATTTTTTAGGAGCTTTCATGTTTAAAAAGCAGCATTTTAACAAACAGAATGTCTGATGATGCTCCATGCACAGAATTCCCTTCAAAAACAAGATATTGTTAGCCTCACTTCACAATCATCCTCAGCAATGTCTGAGAATTTCAAGATAAACCTAATTTAAATATAGACATCAAGAGGCAACTTGGAATAGGTTTGTTATTTTTTCCCCATTGCTGTTTGATTTCTACTTTCTAATAGGATATAACGAATGACATTGTCATGGTCCTGATTTTCTCATATGATTAAAAAACTGACTTTAGAATTTTTGTCAAATGACATTTAAAAGATTGTCTATATCAGATATACTTCTTATCATTTTATTCTAGGATGAAGTAAACAAAAAAAAGTTTCTCAAGTGTTACGTAGGGAATTACTATCAATCTACAGGTAAGCAGTTTGACCCTACTCTTGAGTCTCACATACCTGGATGATGTAGACCTCCTCCCGACCTCGTAGCCACAGCTCAAACTTTTTCTTGTCCCCTTTGATTTTCTCAGTCAGGCCCACCTGGGACAGCTGATGATCACAGCAACAGAGAGAAATTTGGTAAAGGTGATGTTAAGTAATAATAATAATAGATAGCATTTGTATAGCGCAAATCCCCGCTCAACAGCAAGCTCTATATGCGCTTCACAATCTATACTATTACCCCAGCAGATCTGAGAGCATTCTGAAACAACCTCAACTTCCTGGGAAGCATACAGTGCAAGCAGCCATTTATAGGCACTAAAACACTAACATATTGACAAGATCTTTCATTGTCTATGGCTGGGTGTCCATTTCCACCTGGGTGAAGTGAAGAAAATTCATGTAAAGTGCCTTTCCCAAGGAAACAACGTCGGACCTGTGGCTCAAACCCCTGAACCTGCAATCTCACGATTACGAGTCCGGTAGCCTAACCACTAGGCCACCGATGCCAAAACAATTGCTTTTGGTTGACAATGGAGCTTCCGACACATATTGGTCATTTAATAACTATATAAACATTGGGAGTTTTATTAATTCAAGTGCCATATTTCTCTCCTCTCTCCCTTCTCTTTAGATCTCCCTCCATCCATCCTTCTTTTTCTTTGTCTCTCTGTTCTCCAAATCTATCTCTATCCACCTCTCTCTGTGAGACCAAAGCATGCCAACATTATCCTTTCAGAAGCAAAGATCCAATCAAATTCTCGGAAATTACCCCTACACCTACCTGTAACTTGTTCTTGAAGCTGTATGATGGCTGGTCATTGTTGCCATGGTGATCGTCCTTCTTTTTACATAGGAGCAAAGCTCTCTGGTACAGGAACACATGACGCTGCATGGCTCGCAGACGAATATCACGGATGCGCTCGTGTTTATGTTCCGTCCACACACGGAAAGATCCATGCATCAGAAGCCTTCCTAGATCAGCTAAGTTTTCCTGTGAGTTCAGATTTGAGGTAGATGAGAGTTTATTTTTCATTTTTTGTTAACAACATTTCTACCGCACTAAAATACCCAATTTGTAATGATTCTTTTACGATGCAAATACAACACTACTACTATGATTACATTTGTACCCCCTTACAAAAATAAAACTCAAGGCATTTTACAGTATGAGGAGGGATTTTTTTGTTGTTGAAATGAACAAATACAGTCAAGCTTACTCTAACAGCCAACTGTCCAAGGCAATCACCTGTACAAAGAATAGAACCACATCTCTTTTTGCCTCCTTAGATTTTTTTACAATGTCAAAGATAGCCACTTTTCTCCTTACAATGGACGGTCGACTCAGACAATTTTGACTAATTATCAAGAGCAAAAAAGCAATATCAATTTTCAATTGTTCGTCACTCATGTGAAGTGCCACATTCACAATACCATTCACATTTTGGATTGTTTTGTTTTGGGTTTTTAGAGAGTACGTATAGGCCTAACCATCTGGAAAAACAATCATAGAAAGTTGAACCTCAAACTTTTGAGAGTCAACAGAGATCTAAATTTAGAAAGGCATCTATTTTACACAACTAAGACCAGCCTAATGTGCAAGTACAAACTCATTTTAAAAAGAAGTTTAGAAAATGAATATATTTTAAAAAATAATAAAAAATAGCAGTTTTATCTTTGACCATGGGAAAATTTGGGTAGCAGCGCATACATAAAATACTTCTAGATTTTAAAAAATACCAATACAGAAATATTTGCCAATGAATCATTGCTGGTTGCTTCAGTGATGCGCTTGTTTAGTCTATTAGAGACTACATGTCTTGCCCAAGGACACCAACACACGTTCTAGTAACGACCCATCTGAAAGCTGAGTCACCAATACTGTTTGACATGCTCAGTAATTGAGTAGGTTCTGCATTCCTTTCATCACTGTAAGGTTAATTCAGAGGTAGTACCTCTGAAATTAAAGTCCATCTCAATGGGACCAAGCCAAGAAAGAAAACAAACAATACCAAATTAGGAATCTAAACCAGGACCATCTTCCTAAGAGCCCAGTTTGACACCAACTGAGGATATGGTTCATCATCATCATCACAGACCTAACAATTCCCCTTTTTCTTGTTTCTTTTTTCTTGAAACCTAAAAATCAGCACCATGTTGGGACATTTTTACATAACCTACAAATACCAACACCAAAATCAGGACACAGGACAAAAAAAAAAAGCAAACAAAAAACAAAAAGAAAAAAAAACCCATCTGAGCTAATGGTATACCCTTCGATAAGTTTTGAGAACCTGGGCTCATTAACCATGTGAGGGAGACATTCAGAAGCAAAACAGGAGACTCACCGAATATCCACTAATAGCCACCTGGTGCATGCTGTCATTGAGGTATGCCAGCACTGACAACATCGTATCCTGGGCTTCCTTCAGAGATGTAGCAAGCTCAATATTCTCTCCTGTGCACTTCAACATTTCCTGAAGAAAAAGATTTTAAAAGTAGAAATAAGGGGGGAAAAAACAATCATGAAAAACGATTAGGTATGGGTTTTTAAATTGAAGTTGGATCCATGTCCATGTCAAATATTTGAAATTGACCTCTACGCTCTCTAGACTCATGCCACACCCTCCTCTGATTGATGACTAACTCCAAATGTATTGCAAT